CGGGGCGCGGCGGCGGCGGGCGGGCAGCAGGCGCCGCCGGGGGCAGCGGCGGTGCTGGGCGGCACGAGTTTCAGGAGCAGCCCCTGGGAGCTGCCGCCGGCGGCGGCGGAGGGCACGGTCTCCAGCCCCGCTGCCGGCGGGGAAGGGGAGCCGGAGGAGGAGGACGAAGGCGGCGAGAAGAGGAGCGGCCGGCCTGGCGGCAGCCACAACGGGAGCGGGGACTGGGGGGGCGCCCAGGGCTGTACCAAGCCCCGCAACTTTCTCTACGTGGGGGTGATGACGGCCCAGAAGTACCTGGGCAGTCGGGCGGTGGCGGCGCAGCGGACGTGGGCACCTTCGGTGCCGGGCCGCGTGGAGTTCTTCTCCAGCCAGGGCTCCGCCGCGCCCCCCGGGATGCCCCCGCTGCCCGTCGTTGCCCTGCCAGGAGTGGACGACTCTTACCCGCCGCAAAAGAAGTCCTTCATGATGATCAAGTACATGCACGACCACTACCTGGACAAGTACGAGTGGTTCATGCGGGCGGACGACGACGTCTACATAAAAGGTGACCGGGGCGCATCCCGCCGGCGGGAAGCAGGGAGGAAGGGGAGCGGTGTCTGGGAGTCCGTCGGAGTCCCCCTGTGGGTCGGGGAGAGATTCAGTTCCCGCCTGGGGCGGGTAGAGCGAGGGGCGCCTCGACCTGCCACTGCCCCGCCGTTTGCTTCCAGCCCCAGTGTGCGGGGTATGGGGAGCCGCCCCATCCCTGAGGGAACCCCGGCGTGCCCGGGCCGGGCCGTCTCTGCGGAGGCCGCGACTCATTGGAGAGCCAAAACTGCGGGTTGGACCGCACCGGGCTCGGTGAGCGGTCCTGTGGATGGGCGTGTGGTCCCGGTTCTGCCGTCCCCGCCCTCGCGTCCACGGCGATCCTGCGGACGAGCCGCCGCCGTGGTCCGGCGGAGAGGGTCTGGTCCGACAGGGCGCGGAGGGCTGCGAGGCACTGCAGGACTCACGACCCGACCTCAGGGTGTCTGGCGGTCGTGCCGCGCCCCGGCCCCTCGGAGGAGTCCGTGCGGGACTCCTGGGAGCGTGCTACTGTCGCCGGTACCAGGCTCCTCGCTTGCCTCGACCCTGGGCTGGGCGAGCGCAGCCGCCGGAGCTCCAAGTGAAGCTGCTGTTCCGTGCAGCGGGCGCCTCCGGGAAGCACCAGCCTTGCTCCCGTGCGAGTTTCATAGCACCGTTAGGACGTGATGTTCTGCAGCCTTCTTCCTTTTGGTCTGCGCTGGAGGCTGGCATTGTTTGTGCCGTGTCCCGCGCTGAGGAGAGGAAAGCTGAAGTTGAAAGCATAAGCCCAGGTTGTGAGCTTGGTTGCTTACACTGTTGTAAGTTCATTAGTGGTGACTGTACCCTTCTCTGTTTGTCACTTAATTTTGAATCGTGTAATAGGCTGCCTGCTCATCAGTTGTCATTCACCTGTCAAATACTTGCAGGTGAATGACAAGTGTATACATGTATATACATATATACATATATACATGTATATATGTATATACATTCAGCTGCAGGCATAAAGTTGTGTTTTCTTTGAGCTCATTTCGAAGGTGTACTGAACCTGTCTTTAATTGATTACATGGTATGAAATTAAACCTATCCAGAAACTTTTAATTTCAAATAAATATTAACGTTTCCTAAAATAACTAGCTAAGTGCTGACAAACATTGTAGCACTGGAGCTATTTGAAATGAACAAGAGTTTAACTTTCTTTCCAAGAATTAGTCTGTAATCAAACCTGTTTTTCTTAGTTAATTTAGATTTGCTCTGGTATTTTCAAAAACTAATCCTATTAAATCTTACCTGGTATTTCCCATCCCTTTCCTTCCCAGCCTGGAACTATATTGTCCAAATTGTCCAACTTTAGGGACTTTTATACTAGGAAGTGCTTTCCATCCGTATTGTTTGAACAGAAGTTCCCTGTCAAAAATTAAGTTCTGATCTTATTCCAGCTTGTGGCTGGAAGGAAAATGCCATTGTAATGTTAATTTAAAAAAACCTGTTAACTTGTCTAAGGATGTTTTCTGCGAGGTCTAGGATATTGCTTTAGAAGTAATTTCCTCTGACAGTCTCAGGTACCTGTTCCATTTTTATAAAAGCTTGGAGTACAGGAAAAGAGATGGCTGGCAGAGTGGTCAGGGAAAATAACATTAATCTTATCTTTTTGTCAGGTGAAAAATTGGAGGAGTTTCTTCGCTCACTGAACAGCAGTAAACCTCTGTATTTGGGGCAGACTGGTCTGGGTAATATTGAAGAACTTGGAAAACTCGGGCTGGAGCCTGGAGAAAATTTCTGCATGGGAGGGCCAGGAATGATCTTCAGCCGGGAAGTTCTCCGTAGGATGGTGCCACATATAGGTGAATGTCTTCGAGAAATGTACACCACTCATGAGGATGTGGAAGTGGGCAGGTGTGTCCGGAGGTTTGGAGGAACTCAGTGCGTTTGGTCCTATGAGGTAAGTGACAATGTAAATTGCAGTGTGCTGTTTGTTTACAGAGTTTTTCATCTTGCAAGGTAAGTAGCTGTATCTGCAATCTCTTTCCACCTTAATTATCTTCCAGTGCTTGCATCAGGATGTGAACTGCAGACTGTAAGGAAAAAAGAGAGGGAAACATTAACAGCATATTGCTGTAATAATATTTATTTCTACTTGTGTCTTACAGTTTTCATTGGTAACAATTTACTACAGCCATGTTGTAAGCGTTGCTATGCTGTAAGTTGCTAGAGCATTACCTAGAGGGTTTCAAAACAATCCTTGACAGGAAGCTGTTACATTTGATATATACTGTTCAGGACAGATTGTTTTAAGCAGACATTTTCAGGTTTAGATAAGTACGAAGCATATCTGCTCTGCATCACAGTCTCTTAAAATACATTGTAGCATTTGAAGAATGGTCTGCATTTTCTTAATTACCCAGATGTATCTTATTCAAGTTTGTTATTGACAAAAGTAGAAATAGGTGTTGTTTGCCTGGGTTTGTCTTTATTTTGTACAGAAATGAAATTTATTATACTGCCTTTCTATGGTACAATTTTAATAGTGTTTTTCTTAGCGTAGAACACCATTAAAAAGGATTAGGAATACATGCAGTGTAAAAAATTTTCCTATGCCGAAGTAATTTTAGGAACAAATTACTTCATTCTGTGGTAACATTTTCTAAAGTAATGAGGGTCTTTTGCAGTACCCAAAAAGATTATCTGCAATGCCATAATTAAAATTCATGCTGGTTTCTCTAGAATTATTGTGCTTTTTTGCAAGACTGTCTTCATAGATAAAAATAGGCTGAGCATGCAACTACAAGAAAGGGTAAAAGGTGAAACCTAATATGATTAATATTATTTCACTTATTTTGACCAGTTCTTTAATATTAATATGTGCTTGCTCTTGTGGCACTCCCTCATTAATCAGGAAAAATCCATTTAAATGGACCACAGAAAGAGGCTATGTGGTATTTAGTGTCAAAAAGTCAGAAAAAAAATTTAATCTTGTGTAATAGCATTTTTCTGAATGGTCCAGGGAAAGGTGACCATTTATAAATGTGTTTGGTAGACTACAGTGTATGTAAGCAGGTGAACAAAAGAAAATGCTGCATACTTGATACTTATTAGGTAGAAATCTTAGAGGGCCAAATTTACTTCACAATGGAAATATGCTTTTTGAGCCTATTTCCTTATGTGTTGTAAATGCTACTGTAAAATGTACCTGTTGCTCTGGCAGAGAAGGGAAGGCATTTATGGTGTTGATGGAAATCCATGTAGAACTGTATAGTACTAGTGGTTCCTAATCAGACATCTGCAGCCTAATTGTGTGCTCTGATGTGTTTGGGCTATGTCTGTACAAAGCTATTTTCCAGTCCTTATGAGTATGTGATGCTTGCTGATCTGTATCAGGTGGCAGCATTAAGATTCTGCCTTGACAGTTGTGTCAGGGAAGGGGTTTTGTTTTTGTTTTTATGGCTTGACTTGGGGAGAAATCTGTGGATGAAAACCAATAGTATTGTCACCATGGTTATGATTTATTTTGGTGCTGAATGTCAGGAAATGTTGGCTCCAGGCACTGATCTTAAGGGGGATGGAACAAAAAAATACAGTTTTGGAGACTGGTTTATATGACTGCCCAGAAGCTCAGCTTTTCATGGTAGAATTGAGGCCTGAAAACAAACGTTTTGAAAAAAACTCATGCTTGTATGGGATCTGGAATAGAGTGACACCAGTTGGTGTCAGTTGCTCTTGAAGGACCTACGTCTATGTCATAAAGAATAGAAGAAGAAAAAATATGTTGGGCATTGCAATAGTCCTTACTAATTTCTGACCAGTATTTCTGTCTGATTCTGAAGAATCTTTGGCTCTGTTGCCAGTGCAGAAGCTGCTTGGGAAAATGCAGATGATTAAGACAAAGCTGCTTAGGATGTTATCCCAGCATTAAACCTATTTAGATGGGAAGGAGTGAAATGGGGTGTCAGGAAAGAGAAGCTGCATTTGTGCTTTGGCATAGTTTGTGCTGTGCAACAGTATGATACTCCACTTGAGCAGATCTGTGTGTTGCAGATTGCTAGATTATTTGGTGAAAAGAGTGATTTTTTTTTTCCCCTGGGGCACTGAAACTGTTTCTGTGTGCTTTTTCATTCCTGTGTTAGATCAGAAATGCTCTCTGTGTGCTAGAAGGGGAATGTTCCTTCAGATACCTGTGCACAAAATCTAAGATTGGGGCCAGGACTTCCAGTATAGCCAATTGCGCTTTTGTCCTCTTGTTCTGTGTAAGTAATAAACCGAGTCCTGTTGAGCTGCAAGATTAGGATGAACTTAATTGATTTTAGTAAGATAAATAATTTGTATTCTGTATGTATTTGTGAAGACCAATGTCAGCTAGAAACAATTACATTAAAATTCATAGAAGCTTTTTAGCTCCAGAAGAGTTGAATCACTGTTGCCTCATTTTTTACTATATTTCTTTTATAAGAACTGGATCGGAAAGTCAAAGAGTTGCTGAGAAAACCTGAAATGCTTGATCTTTGCTGGGTGGCTTAGCTGATGTAGTTGACTGGCTGCCTGTTCTGCTGCTACTTAGGGCTACCCAGAAGCATATGGTATCTTATATGCATAATATGCTTACTGACAAGAAGAGGGTAACAACTTTGGTGTTTTTTAAAAAAAAAAATTAATTTTTTTTGTTGTTGTTGTAAGAATGAATAAGAAAAGAAGATATTTATGGGCCTGCAGTGAGCCACTCTTATGTTTTGAGCTTTCTACAGTTAAATTCTAGTTCTGCCAGATTTGAAGACAGGTCTAAAGATTGGGACTCCCACGTACCAAGTGACTCATGGCTGGGGTGATGAGCCTCTCTGTATGTCTGCTGATGGAGCTCCTCCACTCTAAATAAAGAATTAGTCATTAGATTGCTGAGAGAGGGAATCTAATGACAGTGTTTTTAGGGTCCTTGTGAAAAATGGAGGACAGAAAGAGGAGGACACTCAGGTTAGTGTCTCTTTTTGATTGCTGTCCTGTTCTGCTGGACTTGGGCAGCCCTGTGGTGAGCTGGAACAGGGAAGAATCCACTTTGCTGAGCACGAGCATCAGGAGAAAAGGAGGTGGTCATAGCCAGGAAAAAAGGACTAGCAAAGTGTCAAACTGCTGTCTTGACAGCAGTTTAGATTCAAAGTGTCTGGAAGCAACAGATAAACTGTAGCCTAAATCTAGTTCATTTCCTTGCTTCATGAGAAGGTATCAGCCAGAAGTGTATTTTGGATGGAACATTTTCTTTCTACAGAAGATCCATCCTTATTCTGGTATATTTTTTCAATTATGTTTTAATTTACCCTTATTTTTGATGATGCTGTAATGACTGAGGTATAATAAACCTGACAAATTTGTCTGAAGTATTTCTGTAAAAAGTCTGTTAATTTTTGTAAGGTGCTTTTGGAGAAGCATCTTCTGCTTCCTCAAATCAGAAACTAAATATTGAAAAGGCCTTTTGATTTGTTTTCAGAATCTATATTTCAAGCTCTCACTCTCTTCCACTAATTTTGAAGCTTTTGAATGTTTTTATTTTAAAGGAATGAAGAAATTGTCTTGATTTTAGTGAGTCATATGTTTTCTATTCTTTTGAAAACATAGTTAAAAAGCTGAGATGCTGTGTACTTCCTTGTTTTGCTGTTTAAGAGGGATTTGAGTATAGAGGACGATTTGAAATAAAGGTCTGATTGCTTTATCTCTCTTCCCTTCCCTTCCCTCTTTCTTCCCCCTCCCCCCCCCCCCCCCCTTTTAAAAATATGTTTTGGGTTTCAGAAGACCATTTTGTAATTTATAACCTGAAATTTGAACAAATCAAATAGTGTAGTTCCATAAAATGACTAAAAGAAATGCTGTGTATGAAATAAATGGCTATAACAATTGAAGAAGACTTTGTCAGGGTGTAAATACTATCAGAGAATGTGTTTTTTTAGAAAATAAAAAATGTCAAATGCAACAAAAAACATCTAAAGACAATTCATTGATGTATTTGTAACATGCAAATGCTTGCAAAGCTTTTCTTTTTGTAGCCTTTTTTCCCGTTTTATGAATGAAAATCGTATGGAGTGTCTTAAGGTAGAAGAGACTCATAAGGATTATCAAATCCAGTGCTTGCAGTGTTCACTGTAGAGTTAAAAACTACATTCCTCCAAAGCATCCTATACAGTATTGTTCCTTTGGTATTGTGTAGGTTGATGTTGAAAGAAAATATGATACTTTGTACATACAAGTAGTCCACATAAATTATATATCTATTTTTCCCACTGTTTTTTTCCCCTTTGTTTCCAAAGTTCAAGGACAGCCATAGAATACAGTCTCATTACTGCAACATTCTTTTAGTAAAAAAGCTCTCTATTATCCTGTTTGTTGTTGATTCCCAGTAGTTACAGTAAATATTGCAGTAAATGTCATGGGAAAATGCCTCTTTGGATCAAGCTATGTACTCAGAAACTTTTCCTTTACAGTGCATTGGTATTTTGACTGTCTCTGGTGGTACTAGAACTTTGTAAACCATTTAATGTCTCTTCTTCTAAAAATACTTTATATTTTCTGTTTTAACTTGAGACTTCCTTCCTGTTGTATTTTAATCTGTCATTTAAGGCTTTATCTCTCTCTTTGGTGAAGATCGGTACTAAGCTTTGAGTTCAACCCTGCACCAAATAGAAGCATTAGAGGTGTGGCTGTCTTTGATGATAGGATGGTATTTTGCTCATTTTGGGTATTGGAATGATCAATCTTGAGGCAGCAGTGCCCCACCCCCACTTAAGTTGTTGAATTCAGACAGCGTAATTAGGTAGTTACATAAATGCAGCCAATACTTAAAAAAAAAATCAATAAAAAATGCATAGAAGAGTGGACCCTTGCAGTAGGGGTCTCTGAGTGTATATGAAGAGAAATCAGATGATCTCAGAGGCCTTATAACTTTTTGCATAAATGGACATTTTC